GAAGGGGAGCAAAGAGCTGCCGCTACCGGAGGCACTGGCCTTTGGCGGAGTGTGGGACCTGCCTACACAGGTGGGCTCTCACCCTCCCACCCCTGCCCAGGGGGAGAGCGAAACCCCCCCGGTCTCCCCAAACTGAGCCCACCCGCCGCTGCAGGAACTCCGTGCCCAAATACCCTTGGCCTCGTGTCAAGGGAGTGAGGCTCCCCCACCTGCTTTGGGGGGTTCAGGGGCTTTTTAGGACTTATTGAAGGCTGCCAGGACGGCCCAGATCATCTCTGTGCCCCTGGCTTTGGCTGCTTCCACCTCGGGGTCCATATCGAGGAGGTCCTTGGTCCTGTTCATTGCCACATCGTACTTGTCATCTGCCAGGCTGGCAAAAACATTCTCCAGCACGTCTGAGGAGTGGGCCAGCACCAGGAGAGCCAGCGTCCTGCGGTCCATGCGGTGGGGGTCGTTCACCCACCGCTCCAGCACGCTCTCCTGCAGCTTCTTCACCAAGCGCTGCTTCTCGGTGGCGTTGCTGATGGGGTGGGTGGTCATGTCGAAGAGCAGGAAGTTCTGCTTCTCCGTGGTGAGGATGCCCTTCTCCACCAGCGCCTTGGCGATGCGCTCGCGCACGTTCCTCAGCTGGTACTGCAGCTTGAAGGGGTTCCAGGTCTCCCCTGCAGGAGAGGAGACCCCGTTCAACACCGGGACAGCGACAGCTTTGCCACCCAACCCCCGCGCCCAGGCTGCTTCCAGCCCAGCACCATCCGTGCTTGCACGGACAGCAGTCTCGGTCACAGGAACCCCTCTTCCTCCCCTTGGCCTGACTCTGACCCGCTTTTCCCATCAGTCCAAGCTGGCAAAGCTCCCAGCAGCCACACGGTGCAGCACTCCGGGGCAGATGCCTTTCGAAAGCCCCTTCTGCCCAGGACCTTGGACCCCAGACTCAGTGAAGACTCATCATGAAAAAAGGCAACAGGGAGCAAGGTCCAAGTCTTCCACCAAGCTGCCAACAAAAAAGACCCAGAAAACCGTTCCCTGTCCCCACATTCGGCCTTCCCCTGTTCTGCTGTCAGTATTCTGCCCGTCTCCAGTGAAGCAAGGGGATGGCCAAGCCATGGAGAGGGGACAGGCGGCAGGGACGGGCCCCGAGGGAGCTGGGGAGATGGCGTCTCTAACTGGCCCTACCAGTGAGCAGCTCTATCCAGGTCTGCACTGTTTCTGCAGACTCCGTCGCCTTGATGTGTCGGAGGGTCTCATCCAGCAAGACATCACCAGTTGGCGCATCTGACTTCAAGAGCACCTGGAAGGGCAAAGTGGAAACACGGCGTAAGGCTGGGTACAGACCCGCTGCTC